TTTAAAATTTTGCAAAAAATTTTATAAATATATATTTAGATTATATAAATATCTATAAAATATTAAAATTTTAAATGCAAAAAGAAAAATCCCCACGGCAAATTAAAGAGCGTGCTATTTTAATTCGTTTCATATTATTCTTGAATTTGAAGAGTTAATATTGCGAGAGGAGTTAGATTTCAAAAATCTATCACTTTCGTATAATAAATTCCTATTGAAAAATGATATTCTGCAACAATACATATTAAGAAATAGCCTAATTGTTTTTTATTATGGCCTACATATATTTTTGATTTAATTAGTTGACCGACCACCCCAACGTATCAGATATATTTTGGATAAAAATTAATAATACGCTCAAGTATCACTATGATGTTTAACTAAGATCAAATACCTCGATTTTATGCGTCGACGAAAATTTTACAAATTATTAAAATGTGAGGGACCAACATAAGGTTGGTTCCAACGTGAGGTCAATTGACATCTATGAACTATTGAAAACAAAAAGATTGTTGTATTGCTATGAAGCCTTTCAGTTATCTATATTTTTATTATTGTCATTAATATTTTTGGATTCATGTTTTAATACAAGTTCCAACTTTTGTGATTCATATTTGCTTCATCTAGAGATTGTATCCATAAAAAAAATTGCTGCTTGGCTATTGTTAAAATATCCTGGTTACCTGGTAAATTATTACGTACTTTTGATAACTACGCTGTCCGGAAAGTGAAAATAATTACAAATCCGGGCCAAATTAAAAATAATTACACATAAGGGCCTAATTTTTAAAAAATACTACATATAAGGGCCCAAATCTATTGATGAACTATAACGATAGCAAAATCGCGATTATGTAATATTTTTTAAAAATTAGGCCTTATATGTAATTATTTTTAATTTGGGCCCGTATTTGTAATTATTCTACTTTCCGGGCCCTTATTTGTAAATTCTCCTTTTGTTTATTTTCTAACCTTAAACATTTATATTCTAAATCTAATTTTTTTTTCTCTTCCCAAAATCTTTAGTAAACCAATTAAACTGGGCAAATTCTAACGATAATTTCTCTTACATAACTTAGGTTTGCTATAATAAATTCTACCCTAAAATTCTAATTAACTGAAGAATTCCGAATCCACTTAAAACATTTCTATTCCTTCCTAAATATTATATTCACGATTTCTACGATCTCAAAGATGTTCCTAATATTTATTATTAATACTTTCATAAAGAAAGGTTTTACTTGCGGGTTATATCAAAAAAAAAAAATTATATAAAAATATTTATCAAAAGCCCAATTAAAATAAAAATATTTATCAAAAGCCCAATTAAATCTACCCTCTACTCCCTGTGACGTTGTACTTTCGTATAACGCTAATGATAAATATAACGATCACGTGAAGTCCGAAACTTTTTACTTAATTTAATGAAAAAAAATTATATTGATATTTCATTTTAAAGAATAGAAATTTAATGCTTCTAAAAATATAATAAAGTTTTTTATAGAAATAAAAACAAGTTTCCCTCTTACGATAGTCTTTACATGGACTGAATCCACCACAAGGAGTGATTTCAAATAATAAAGCTGCGACGAAGTTTAAAGCATCTATATATCTGATATTTAGATTTATCAATTTTATCAATAGTAACTTTTTGTATTATATATATCTACTTCAGATTTCTAATATTAACGATTATGCTATTTCTTAGAATACCAAGCAAAAATGTACAGTACGTACGAACCCCAACTCTAACCTAAAACACATAGTGATGAATTTCACCTATAATGAATTCTCACTCAATAGATATTGTTCAAATTAGATTTGTATTACCAAGGTAACCATTTTGAGGTTTTACGAAATCTTTTGCCATTTTGTATTTTAAGGCAATCTCCGTGTCTTTTTTTTTGTCAAAATATACCATGGTGCTTCCAATTTCATATTACCCGATTCAAGGAATTTTCTATTTTTTCTCTAATTGGATTTTGCTTAAAAGAATTATTTGTGTTTTATTCATTACCTTAATTGCTACAGTTTTTGCATTTGGCTTGAGTTTTGGATTTTTACTTTCGCTTCAAGCCCATGCTCTCATATACGCGGGATGTCCCATATGGCTTGCCTGGATAGTTTCTTTCATCTTTTGTTTACTTGAGGCCGTCTTATTTACTCTTATCTTTTATCTTATTGTCACTCCAATATGGCAAGATGCTTTGTTTGATGATGTTTTAAGGTTAAAAGGTCTTGGTTATATATTAGAAAGAGAAAGAAACATATCAGAATCTACTCTTTGTTGTCGAGGTTTATGTTCTGGTCTTACAATAACTTGTTTTCAAATATATGCTCTGATAATTTTACAAGTAAGTATTCAACCATTCTTTGTATCTTCTTATTTACATTATATTTTATTTTTAACCGATTTTTATTGCTTTAGATATTGACACTTCTTTTAACAATGCCACTACATGCATTACCAATAATCGGAACAATTCTGTACTGTTATATTAATGGTTGGATAATGACATGGGGTCATCAATTACACTATCATTTAGAAATAAAGGAGTTCAACGTAAAACAGTCAATTCGCTTCGCTTTAAGAAAGCATGATGATTACGTTATGTTTGGAATGGTCGCTGTTGCTTTAGAGTTGATCCCTATTGCTAATTTTATTCTTTTCTGGACAAACGTTGTTGGTGCGGCTCTATGGACGGCTGATGTAAGATGTCTAAAGATTTCTCATATCTCACTTATTAAATATGATAAATTACTTATAATTGCAACTTTTAACAGGTTATCATTGAAGAGCAAAGAGGTGCTTCAAGAAGATTGGTTAATCCTCATGGCTTAATTGTGAATGTAGGTGGTCCTAATTATGCTGCTCAGAGAATGAATAATAATGTTTATGGTGCAACTTTTGTTTAGTGAATTATTATCAATCTTTTCTGTTAAATAGTAATCTTGCATATTCAACTTGTGTTAAAATAACTTTTTTGAAATATTTAATACTTTATATATATTCTATAAATTTGCATCACTATGCTGTATGAGCACTTCTAATGCTTATCTGTGTCTAATTTTGTTTCATAAAATTCAAAATTAAAATTTATATATTCAGCGCATACAATTTTTTTGCCCAAATTAATCGTTATTTAATAGAATAGATTTGATCACATACTACTGTATAAAGATTAGTTTTTTCTCAAGTCCAAAAGTTTATATAATTATAAAAACTCGAAGTTTTCAATTAGAAATAAAGAAAGCTGATCTGACGCGGATGCATATAGTAACGATAAGAGATGCAAATCTATTTAAATTTGAAGTCCGCATTTAGAAAGATTTTAGACTTCATATTTTAGACTTTAGATCTGTTATACTAAAATAGAGGTCGTCTAAAGCCAGGTAGTTTTTAAATTGATTACTAACAAATTTGTAAAAGTCGGTAATAAAGTTTTATAAAAAATATATATTTTGGTTAATTTTATAAATAAGTATAAAAATCTTGTATATAGGATTAGGGGCACAAGGGTATGGGCATGCCAGCAGAGGTCTTTTTCGATTTTTAACAGCTGCCCTACCTTGGAAAGTGCGTTGGGAGTACGTCAAGTATAACCCGGGTTTGCATAAGGAGAGCATCTTCCTGCATATCGAATACAAAGTCCAATTATATATATTATATAATTGAAAACTTGACTTTGTATTCGATAAGATATTAGGTTGTATCATGCAAGCCTATTTACAAACATAGTGCAGGAAAATCATTAATTTTTTTATAATTAGCAGTGGCATAGTGATAGCGTAAATAGTAAAAACATATAAAATCTAAATTGCAATAACTCTTGAACAAGCAAACCCACACAAATAAAATTACGTTTTTTCAGGTTCATTTTTAGTGTACTCTTTAAAGTAACAGCGCCTTTTTTATTTATTTTTATTGTTTGAAGCATAGCGGAGGACGCAGTTTTCATACAAAATTGTCGTTTTTGATATATTTCTTAATAGAGCATCAAAACTAAAATGAACCCGGCAAATATAATTTTATTTGTGTGGGTTTGCTTGTTCAAGAGTTATTGCAATTTGAATTTTATATGTTTTTACTATTTACGCTATCACTATCCACTCTGCTAATTATAAAAAAATTTGGTAAATGATTTTCACTATACACCTGCACTATGTTTGTAAATAGGTTTGCATTAGGGATGATAATCGGTCCCGCAGTAATTGTCAGCCGACTTTGAGCAAGATTTATAAAAAATTGACGTTTTTAACCGGCATTCGTCCAATAAATAAAGTCAGAAAAATAATTCTTCTATTACATTTTCTAATAGAGGTTTATCGGTTTTTGCATTAGTCTTTGAGTAATTTTGCTGGGACCGATTAGGGACCGAGCAGTGTGGAGAAATTTTAGCTAACCGGTCCCTAATCGGTCCCATTTAAATTACGCAAAAACTAATGCAAAAACTGATAGAAAATGTAACAGAAAAATTATTTTTCTATGACTTTATTTACTGGACGAATACCGGTTAAAAATGCCAATTTTTTATAAATCTTTCTCAAAGTCGGCTGACAATTACTGCGGGACCGATTAACATCCCTAGCTTGCATGATACACCCCAATAAGATATGCAAACCCCGGTTATACTAACGTACTCCCAAGGTAGGGGCATGCCAAATCACATGACATAGGCAGCCAAAATCATTGGCTAAAATTAAAATATTATTCGGCAAAATTATACAACTCACTCTTGTTATATTGAAGCTAGGGATGTAAAATTACTGTAATTTTACGTAATTTTGAGTAAGTTTCTGTAAATTAGTTTTTCATGCAATTTGTAACTTTGAACACAAGATATTAGTTTCTGAGATCAAATTTTCGGTGATTTGATGAGTTACAATTCGGATAATACATTTAAATCAAATAATGCATAATGTTGGCCGTTCTTTCGTAAAGCTGGTATTTCACGAAAATTACATGAAATCTTATTTACTGAAACTTATGTAAAATTACATGTATTGTAAAATTGTAATTTCCTTGACTGATATTCATTATAGCTTATATCAAGAGAATACTATATGTATAAAACATCTCATCATAGCAGTGATGGTAAACGACCTGGTCATTTGCAAATTACCTCGAATGACTCTGAAATGACCGGACATTTCAATTTTGGGTTATTTGGAAATGACTTGTAACAAGTGACCACAGTCATTTAGAAATGACCGGGGTCAGCTTACACATCGATCTACATGTTCGGATCAAACATTGCCAGAAATTTCCTTGCATGGGTTAATTTATCCATTTTTGTTATACAAGTGGTACGTTTGAATATTCGGTAAATATTTGTTCTATTGTTATGATTGATTGTGTCTGTAAATCGTAGCTTTGTCCATTTTTGGATTTTCTGAGTTTTAGTCATTTCATGGTGGAATCTCGTAAATCATGCTCGATTGAGCATACAAATTCTTGATTTTTAAGTAATCCTAATGGTCCATAGTCGCTAATTTTCTTTAGTGTTGGATTTCCTTTTAATTTCTTTGATATATTTATTCGGTCTTATGGGTTGAAGAGTTCTAAATACTTGTAGCTGTAATGGGCATTTAGTATTTTATTAATACAGTTGATTTTGCTTTGTATCTGTTTTTTTCCGTATTCTAATTGTTTCTTATATTTTTCAAATTGGAGTATTTCTTGTTGCATCGTGGTTTCTACTTGTTTAGGATGTGCTAAATATTTTTGGTGTGTCATAGCTGGTATATGCTCTCTAATTTCTTCTTCGTCTACAAGACTTTCTATATCTTCAAAGCAATATTTTGCTTGGTCATTATTAGTATATACTTGTTCTAGATTACTATAATCTTCACAATTTTCATAGTATCTATGTATTTCATTAAAAATGTAGTCTAGTAGTTGTTTAATCATTGGTATTAATGGTAACTATATTACTTTGTCATAAGTATACCATTTCCATTCTGATGCATTTTCTGGTTCAGTTTGCTTTAGTGTTATCCCAATATTTACTGGGTAAATAAATACTGTTTGCCGTATTTTATGAGTTGCTTTGTCTGGTAGGCAGTATTTTTTGGCTACCTATTCTTGTGAGCTTATTTTAAACTCAGTCCATACTTTAATTAATTGTGATTTTTCTAAAAATACATTTGATTCTTCTAATGCTTCTCGTATTGCTGTAACTTCTTCAGATTCACATAGTTTTCCTAATTCGTCTAATTCGCCTTTTTCTCCCATTCCTTGATAGTTTCTATAAAATACTTTTAAAGGGTTATTTTTTTGTGATAATACTATTTGATATTCTTTTGCTAGGTGGTATCTAAATAGTGCCATTTGAACTATATGTTGGATTGGTAGGTTGAGGTGATTAATTAGTAATTGTGCTATAAATTTTAAGTTTCTGCACGTGAAACAGGTATCATAGTATGTTTCTTGGTTTTTATTGATTATTTCTCTATAATCCATTATATTGTTAAAGTTATTGTAAGTGATACATTTCTAAAGTATTCCATACTCTGGATCTTCAATTATTGTAGTTGTTTCATTTTGTTTAGTTGCTTAATAGTATATTTTATTAATTCAATATCTTCGAGTTTCTTTTTGGATTGTTCTATTTCTTGTTATAAGGTTTTAGATTTCTTTAGTTTATATACTTTAGTCTGTATGTATCTTTTATAGTTTTGGTCAATTTGGTTACACTGGTAGTAGCATTGTAGTTCTATTACACTATTAGTCCTTTTGATTTTCTTTTCAAAATATTCTTTTGTAAGATATCTTTTGCACTTTGGGCAATGTTTCTTTTTGTTATTTGTTTCTGAGATTGGTTTTGAAGGTGTATAATTTTGGTAGTATTTTAATCTGCACTCTTGGCAAGATTTGAGTTTTCTGTAGTTTTTAACAAATGTTTCTAAAGGTTTTTCTCTTGAGTAGATAATACAACTAATTAAATAATTGTAGGAAAATGTTTTATTATTGTTTATGATTTCTACAGATCTTCATTGCTTTTGTTGTTCTAGTCTAAGTTTACATCTATCACAGGTTTTGCTCATTTCTCCTGATTTATTGAGAATTGTATATGTTCTCTTGGGTGTTCTGCACTTGGTATACTTCTTGATATTCTTGTTGCGATGCTTCATATATTTCTTTATTAATTTGGTCAATAATAGCTTGTCTTGTACTTGTTATTTGTAGATTTGTTCAGTATTGTTCAGAATTATATCCTGAGTTTGCACTTTGAGTTCTGCACTTAATACAGGTTCAGTACAATATTCCTGTTTGTTTTTCTCCAAATTCTTCTTTTAGTTTCTTGATTCTACACCTTGAGCACTTTATTTGTGTAGGTTGGTTCTTAATATTTTCTTCTTTATTATTTCTTTGAGTTTGGTATTTTTTCTGATATTCTAGTTTTTGAGCTCTTCTGTTTCTACAGTGTATCAAGTTTTATTTACTCATTTTTCTCATTTAAAGTCTTCAGGGTAATTTTTATATTTTTGGCAGGTTGAACAGTATTGGTATTGTAATTCTGGTCCTGCTATTATAAAGTTATGGAATATAAAATTATATTTCTGCTGTTGGTTTATTCTTTACTTCTTCTGGGTCTATTAGTAGTAATTCTTCTACTGCTTCTATTCATATTCTATATTCCTCTGT